TAGTAAATAAGATTTCAATGCTTTGCGAAATAAAGAAAATGATGTTATGGATTTGATTTCAAATGGCAGGTGACTGTGCATTTTTTTTTTCGAGTTGTATAATATTGAACTTTTAATTAACTCTGAGCGTGGGGTAGGTAGAGAAAGATCTTGCTCCGCGTTCCTGAGTGGATAAGTGTGAGATAGCCTTCCTTGAGAAGCTAATACATGCTTACGTATTAGGCAAACGGATTCAAATATAAATAAGGAAGGCAGAGTTAATATTTTTAATTTTTTAAAAAAGTCCTGGCAATGAGTTCTGCTGTTTAGTCCCAGTGAATATCGAACGGCTCTCTTCTGGAGCTTGAAAATGCGGTCAAATTGAGTCGCACAACCCCAGAATGGAAGGGCATCTCTGAGATGCGACTCAAAAAGTGCATAATAAACAGTTCTAGCCACTGACAAGTTAAGCTCCTTAGAAACAGATCTTAATGCAAAATAGGCAGAACTTAATTTTTGACAAAGCGTCGATGTGCATGTCCCATTTTAGAAAATTGTCTGCAACAAGCCTTAAGAAGTTTACAGATTTTACGACGTCAATGGTGGTGTTGTTAAGTACAAAAGGCTGCAGCGAGTTTTTATACGACAAAGCTTTAGTTTTAGAAATGTTGAGACTCAGGAGGATCGAATCGCACCAAGATTTAATGGTAATTAAGTCATTTGATATAATCCTATGAAGTGCCGTGACGTCCTTGTTGCAAAAAGACATATTTTACCACTGATGTTTATGTTAGCAATGTCGTTAATAAAAAGAAGAAACAAAATAGAGCCTAGTACTGAGCCTTGTGGTACTACATATTCTATTAGCTTGCTAGAAGACAACGTGGTATCCACCCTCACAAGTTGATTTCTGTTGCTCAGATACGAATTAAACCATTCGATAGATGTTCCCCTGAACCCATAGTGCTGCAGTTTATTAATTAGGATCTTATGATTTACACAGTCGATCACCTTAGAAAAATCACAGAAAATTGTTGCTGTAGCTGTAGAATGATGGCTATTTAAGCTGGAATAAACTTTATTAAGGAGGGAAAGCATAGCGTCATTTGTGGACTTGTTGATTAGAAATCCAAATTGATGTTCAGTAAGTATTTTGTACTTAAACAGAAAAGATGGCAGCCTTCGTTTAACCAACCTTTTTTATGATCTTAGATAGCGTAGGAAGCAGTGCAATTGGGCGATAGTTAGAAGCTTGATCTTTGTCACCTCCTTTATGCAGAGGAATGATTATTGCCGTCTTAAGACATTTTGGAAAAATACCATTTTGGAATGACATGTTTATTAAAGTAGTTGGGAATATGGAAATGGGGACTCCCCCTCCCCATGATATACCAAACAGAGTTCTCTCTATTACAGGACTACTTGGAAACGATTGCTCACCCGGTTAAATAGAGTTACTTTCCTTCCACCAGCTTACTTACGCGTATTTACTTTTCCGTCTGGTGCGGTTTTAATACCGTTTACTAGAGATGAGTAACAAATCGCAAACTGCGATTCAATCGCAGCGATTTTAAAATCGCAATCTCAACGTGCGGTTAGCTCTCATAGGAAACTGCGACTGCGATTTTGCGAGTTTCAATTCAGGCAACCAATATTACTATAGTTGCTATTTGCGACTTTGCTGCGATATAAGATTTGGTTGCGATTGAGATTTTGAAAACTAGGACCGTGATAACTTTCTATCTGCAAGTTTGAATTTTTAGGAGTTGCGATTTGCGATTTTGTTGCAAATGTAATTTTGTGGTCCATTGAAGCATACTATAGTAACCTGCGATTGATTTTTTTCTGATTTTATCTATTTATAAAGAAGGTATTATTTTATAGATCCAAGATCATAATATACCGGGTGTTACTCGAGAGTGGTTCGCCTCTATTACTTTTATTTTTTCTGATAAAAATGAAGATTTGGTATGTAAGCATATGACATAAATTAGAATTGACTGATAATATACCGGGTGTTTCTCAAGAATGGTTCGCTTCTATAACCTTTTTATTTTTTCTGATAAAAAAACGGGATTTGATATGTAAGTATATGACATAAACATAATCAATAACTTGAACTGAAGTCGTCATCGCTCTTGAAAAAAAAATTAGTGGCAAAAGAATTTATTTTAGCGTAAAAGAAAATATTTTGCCTGAAGAAAAACTCTCTTAACTCAAGGAAACCGGTTCTCTTGAAAAATTGGAAAATTTCTCTTGAATCTATTTTCATTCAACCAAGTGCAAGTTACTTTGTTTTTAAGATAATAAGAAAAATATGCTAGGAAGTACTTCATTCAAGAAACATGGCCATTTTCC